CGGTATGGATACATGATATATACACTAAAATGTATTACTGCTCTAAAGACACCAATATCAACGTTACCAGAGCTCACGACAGCTTGGACGACTACATGGCCTTTGATTCAGACGGGGAAAACGATGATGGCTTCGATAACAACGATGACGAACTGAACTTTGGGGCACTGGACCCATACGATGACGACAATGTCGCCCTTCCAGACATGATGTTCGGGGATGACCTGTTGGCTGCTGTTGGTGGTATTAGGGGGATTTCAGTGGACGTTTTGGGTCAGAGGAATAAAAAACATATTCTTCGTGAAATATCGTGATCTGGTGCTAAATCCCAATACCCCTATCCCCATATGGATGAGCCGTTTGAACCCCGACCGGCCAATTCGATGTATCACGATTATCCTGGTCTGTACGATGGAGACTACGGACCAACCGCGGATGCAGTCGCTGCCGCATCAACTCCGATGGCCAGTTTCTTGTTCTTCATGGATGATATTGCCATGGCCAATGGAGAGTGTTTTCACGGGAAACTGGACGAGCGCGTTGACGGTCAGTACGAACGTCAGCTCGCCCGTGAAAAGAAGAAGCCCATGATTCGACGTCAAAATAAAGCGGAGATACGCTCAAAATTGCTGAAGCTACCCCCGATTACTGGTAGAGATCTTTGTGTGTTTATTGGACTGCTAGTAGCTCGGACCATATCCCCTAACAAGGAGAAGATTCAACAGCACTGGAACTACTGACGAAGGAGGAATCCCACGTGGATGCTTTGGGATATACATGTCCCGCGATCGTTTCGCACATGCCGCTCGCGATCTACATTTCAGTAGCAATAATGATAGACGTGCTGCTGGCGATCGTGCTTGGAGGCTTAGACCAATCATCGACGAGATACAAACGCGGTTTCAAGAAGGCTACCGCCGGCTTTCGATGAAGCCATGCTTCCATCGAGGTCACAGTTCAACAGAATGCGGGTATACATCAAAGACAAACCACACAAGTATGGCACCAAGCTCTTCATGTTGTGTTGTTCCTACACAGCTTACTGTATCCGGTAAGTTGAGCGTGCCTCACATGTCACGCTTTTTTGTTGTTGAAATGCTAAGTTTTTTTTTCGTGTCTAATACAAAAATGTGATTTATTTTGGTTTGAAGTGTATCTGGGCAAAGCTGAAACGGTGGGAGGCGTTGTTGCTCGGGATGAAAGGACGGAGCCCCTGGTAGTTGTGAGAAACTTACGTGCTGTGATCGGCGATGTGCCAGCAGCCCAGAAGCGCTTGGTGGTCATGGATCGATTTTATACGTCCCCCCTCGCCATGGAGTTGCTGAAGATGGGCTTTTACAGCATTGGAACAGTACTGACTTCTCGGCGGGGTCTTGGTGCTCAAGTACGTTTCATCAAGAAAGAAAAAAACTCGCCCGGACAGTATCGGCGGTTGAAGACCACTATCGCAAGATTCACGAAGCCTAGGAAGAGGCTTTTGTAGTATTTTTTTTTATTCGAACTGCTAGCTGAAGAGAGTACCTGCAGCGTGTATAATATACGATAAGTTTTCACAATAACAATATTATACACGATAAGGCTTATCTTTGGAGATGGAGTAGGTAGTAGGTCGTGTACGTTGATACCCCCCTCCCCCCATGTACGTTTGGTAATCTTTCAGGACGCTAAGGCAAAGAACTTCCTCTAGATCGCCCGTCCTCGCCCGCCCGACAACTCGGTCCAGCTCAGTAGTTCCGCCAACACACAGCATGTATACAGGTCGATTATCCCACCACCATGTTTGTAACAAGCTTCGACTTTGCGAACGTAAAAGTCCCGCGCTACCCGAAAGGCTGCAAGCAAGACCAAGATGACGCACATTGGCTTCATGAAGCATTGAACTGTACCAAATTATCGCTTCGGATTGGGTGGAGCTCCAGCGGACGCGCGGGCAAAATGCAACTCCGACTAGACACCGTGGAAGAGACAGCTCAGAGCACATGCCCGTACAGACAGATGACATGAGGAAGGGCAACACCGATGGAAGTCGAAAACGTCGTCAGAGAGCATGCAAAGTGTGATCACTGCTCATGGAGAAGGTCACCGATAGGGATACGTCTTTCCAGTGCAGTTCATGTGTACTCACAACTACTGACAAGAGGAGCGGCGAAGCAACGACCTCACCTGTGTATCGATACAACAAAGTCAAGCACTCGTACGATGGGGAGGCGCGTACGTGCTTCGAGATCTGGCACAAGTGCTGGCGGAACGGCACACAAAAGCCTAGCCGCGGCAAGCGCAAAATTCGGATGCATGTAGCGAAAGAAGATGAGGTGAATGCTGATGATGAGGCGGAGAAAGCAGACGACGAAGGGTCACCACACCCACCACAGAGAGCACGTCGTCAGTGATTGTATCCCACGCAATCAGTGATTGCTGGACGCACTCCAGTTTTGTATGAATTTCAGTATAGCCCGTGATGAGCTGTGCCCAGATGCTTTTAGTTTCTAAATATCGAGAAAATTTGAATGACTTTATCACGGTTCTGTCTGGTCTCTGTTGGTACGAGACTTGTCTTTGCGCGCCGAGGACTTGATAAATCCACTAACATGTACGTGGTTCTCGAACGTGGACATGGTAAAGTCATCGATACACGATAAGTAGCATTCCAATACACAGGGTTAGAGTTTTGCATGTCCTTTGTAACGGGACACGATTAGAAATAGCAGATATTTTGTAGCGAAGCCCTTACCCTCAAATTCATGATAGCTTAGCTAAAAGGCGCGACTTTTTTGGACTGGGCTGGAGGGGGGGGGGGGTAATGACCTGAAAGCACATTCGAACCGATAGGAACAATATATAGATTGAAAAGACAGATGTATTCATTCTCATAGTCTCTATCGTCTTCAACATCACAAAATCTCTTTCCCGGACGTCACTATCACATTACTGGGATAGTCTAGACGAACGTAGGGGAGTTCATGACATTGACAAGACGATGCGCCTGGAGCCAGACGGCCGATCGACAGCGCCTTCGTCAATCAGCCTGAAAAACCAGGTATGGGAACTTGACTAACAAGCTTGTATATTGGCAGTGGGAATACAAGAAATCGTTTTTCTCGGAAATATAGCGGGTTTGCCCGATTGGCAAGGCAACAAGAGCTACATATTCAGGGTTGTGAATGACGATGTTGAGTGGCCGGTAATATAGGACAACAACTTCAGCGATGTCGATTTATGAGGAAATGAAGGGGAGAAGCTCGCCGTAATATTAGGCTGGATCCTTGTTGTGGTTGCACTTCGCTATCTACCTTGTTGGGATGCCTATCGATCGGTCCACGTCCAACGCGTGTCCGATGCGCCGTAGTTGAAGCGACAGGATATGACGTTTCGCGCTTATATGCAGATTGCGGAGCGAGTTCATTTAGACATGTAGTTATTCCTACTTCTAGGTTCCTCATAAGGTGTAGTGATTTCCAAGTAATCGCTGAAGTGGCTACATTCAAGTTGCTCAAGCCATTATGCGACAGGTGGTGACTACGGTGCAAGATGGCCAAGGACACGTCACTACCTAACGCTCGTCGGGTCCGACTATAACCAAGATGTCACTCAAGTCGCGTGGTCCGTATCGGTGAAGCTGGATTCACATTCAGCGGTCAAGAA